TAAGAAAAAGTTACACAAACAGTATTCCAAACTCAATGTGTAACTTGTTGTTTTTCCTTTCTTAGCATCAGGCATATCTGCTGGCAATAGAAAATCTCCTATAAACAAATATAACCAAGCTCTGAAGCAGTCATGATGATATCCGTCTTTTCAGGTTCACCATGGCTGACGCCCGGGGGTGGTGCTTGGAGAGAGTAAGAAGCTGCCTGCCTGCAGCTCCTAGGCCAGGAGCCTGGTCAGGTGCTCCACGTATCTCCCCTGTTGTTACATCTTCACGAGAAGCCTCATGATGGGGTCTTCCCTGTGGCGCAGACAAGGCACCTGGAACTCAGAGATCCACTCCTTCCCAATTCCACAGCAAGCCTGGAACCAGTGCTTTCTGTCTCATGGAAATGATCAATAGCCAATCTGATACTGTCGATAAACTTTTTACAAATCTATCAGCCAGAAATAATCACCTTTTGGGGTTTCAATTTTTTGGCGTTTTTGTTTTCCGGTTTTCTCACATGTAATCATTGCATAATAAAGATAAGACTTTTTTTAACAGTTGGCTTATATAATTTGCCTTATGTTTACAGAGAAAACAGAGCCTACCAAGTGTGAGTAGACACATACATAAGATGAGTAGTAATTACGGATTCTGTAGAAGTTAAGCAAAGTTGAAGACTCATATATTCAGATTGTAAAATATTAACAGAAGTATAAAATGTTGGCCGTGGTGGTAGCTCACGCCTGTAATTCTAGCACTCTGGAAGGCCAAGGACTGCAGATCATTTGAGGTCAGGAGTTTGAGACCAGCCTGTGCAATGTAGCAAAACCCATCTCTACTAAAAACACACAAAAAATTACTGGGTGTGGTGGCATGTGCCTGTAGTCCCAGCTACTTGTGAGGCTAAGTTGGGAGGTTGAGGCTGTAGTGAGCTGAGATCGAACCATTTCACTCCAGCCTGGGCAACCAGAGTGAGACTGTCTCAAAAAAAAAAAAAGAAGAAGAAGAAGTATAAAATGTTCATAATGGGGCCTGATGCAGTGGCTCACTCCTGTAATCCCAGCACTTTGGGAGGCCGAGGCAGGTGGATCACTTGAGGTCAGGAGTTCAAGACAAGCCTGGCCAACATGGCAAAACCCTGTCTCTACTATATATATATATATATAATGTATATATCTGCCTTTCTTTCCAAGGAAGCCAGGACCTTCTTGGAAAATCAAGAGAACTCACAGCAGATTTATGACCGGAAAGAGACCAGCCCCATGCTACTTATTAAGCACATTCATTTGCCATTGTCCAGCATAACCTCATCAAAACTCCTTCACATGCTCTCCTTAAGCTCCACATCAGCGAGGTTTTATATTAAAACAGCAACAGCAACCACAACAACACAAATCTGACCCCAGAAAGCCTGTAGAAATAAGGTAAACATGAAATACCTTGAAAAGGCAGCGGTAGCAAAGGAAACGTCACATACATCAATACTTGCTAACAGTCCCCTTACACTGCTACCTCTCACACCTCAAGCCAATTTCCTTTCTGTCAAAAACTCTGAACCTCCTCTCTACTCCCACCACGGCCCTGTTCTCAGCCTTCTGACTCTGTTTTTCTTTCAGTGGATGAGTGTTCTGATGTTTCTTTCCTTTGGCAGAGTTTGAGGTTTGGTCCCTTGTTTGTGCCATTCTGCTGGTGGCGCAGTGACCAAAGACAAAGGGAGGAGGGAAACAGGAATGAGAGAGCAGGAGTGAAGGTTACTGGGAATTCTTATCCCAATAGGACACACTGTCAGGGGCACTAATAGAACTGGAGATGATGTAGAAGGTCACCATAAAGCTCTCAAGAGGGTCTGAACTAGAGTGGTGGGAAGGACACTAAAAAGGAAGACCCAGATTCGAGAGACATCGGAGGCAGGAATTACGAACTGAATTGTGCTCCTCAAGCACAATTGTCAACAATGTTGCTCATCACAGCGACCACAGCTGTGTGTTAAATGGCTAAATGACGGGACGGATACATGCATGAACAAGTGGGCTGTGAGAAGGAAGGAGGACCAAGGACGGTGAATCAGGAGTGTTCCTGGGAACCTAACACATCTCCTCCAGTCCCCCACTCTCCGCAATCCTCATGGCATGCTGTCTGGCCCCTCCTGCCTCAAGGTTTCCTAGTTACTACTCCCTCTCCCTGGAAATGATCCCCCCACCTCCAGCTCACATCTGCATTTAGGGAAGTTGCCAGGCCTACAGAAAAAGGCAGACAGCGCAACTGCAGGAGCAGCAAAGATTTCTGAACCTAGAACAGGTACATTAGGTCTGGGCGATGGTGCTTATTATGTCACTACAGAAATATGGAGCCATCATTCCAGGCACATCTGACAGGGATGAGAGTCCTTGACCTCCCGGACCTGCGAGACATTTTCCTCCTGAATGAACGATAACCCCTGCCACCTGCTGAGTGCGCCCCTTGAGAACATCCAGATAGGCCCTTGCCCTCTATATTCTCATGTCCTTGTTTGTCCCTGATCCATGTGCAAGTACTCCATTCACAGACTCAGATACAGATGTTATGAGCCACCCTTTTCTCCCCTTGTGAATGTAGTGTAGCAATCAAAAACTTACACAACTACAGTCACAGAAAGCAATGTCTTTGAGGGTGCCCACAGGGCACTTTCCGTCTGACTATATTGTTGTTTAAAACTTCAGATGGTTGCCACTTTTAACTTTTTTTTTTTTTTTTTTTTTTTTTGAGACGGAGTCTCGCTCTGTCGCCCAGGCTGGAGTGCAGTGACCGGATCTCAGCTCACTGCAAGCTCCGCCTCCCGGGTTCACGCCATTCTCCTGCCTCAGCCTCCCCAGTAGCTGGGACTACAGGCGCCCGCCACCTCGCCCGGCTAGTTTTTTGTATTTTTTAGTAGAGACGGGGTTTCACCGGGTTAGCCAGGATGGTCTCGATCTCCTGACCTTGTGATCCGCCCGTCTCGGCCTCCCAAAGTGCTGGGATTACAGGCTTGAGCCACCGCGCCCGGCCCACTTTTAACTTTTAATAAAATATTTTTGGCCAGGCACAGTGGCTCACGCCTGTAATTCCAGCACTTTGGGAGACCGAGGTGGGCAGATCACCTGAGGTCAGGAGTTTGAGACCAGCCTAGCGCAACATCGTGAAATCCCTTCTCTACTAAAACTACAAAAAAAGAAAAATAAAAATTAGCCGGGCGTGGTGGTGCACCTGTAATACTTGGGAGGCTGAGGCAGGAGAATGGCTTGAACCTGGGAGGCAGAGGTTGCAGTGAGCCCAGATCACACCACTGCACTCCAGCCTGGGTGACAAGAGCGAAACTCCATCTCAAAATAAATAAATAAATAAATAAATAAATAAATAAATAAATAAAATATTGTTTTATCCCTTGTAACTCACTTCGGTAAGTCTTCACTGTCTGAATCAAAGAGAAAAGATCTGTTGAATGAAACAGGTCTGAATGAATGTGTGCCCTCGACCTTTCTGTACTTTGAGAGCCTTTCTCCCAGATCTTTCACATTCCAAAGTCACATTTTATTCTCTGAGATAAATATTTCAGGCTAACAATAATTTTAAGTCGAAGTGCATGATCCGTGTGCACCATTGTTGCATGGCCGTGCTGCGGACACTGACCCTGTGCCTTCCCCCTCCTGAGGGCTCCCCAGTGGCCGGCTGGACTGAGAGGCTCTGCCGGGGTTGTCCACACACCAGCTGGGCAGCCCACCTCAGCTTCCCACCTTCTCCATCCCCTCCCCGGGGCAGGACACCCTGCTCACTCAGTGCAGGTGTGCACCAGCCCCTCCCTCCACACCCAAGTGTGCAGGAGAGCACAGACACTGCTGTCTGCTCCTCTGGGTGGCCTCCGCCCTCTGCATGGTGACAGACAGGAACTCGAAGAAAGTTTGTGGAGTGAATAAGTATATATTTATATCATAACTACTGTGGAAAAAAATGATACTAAGAAGCCGTTGTTTGCTTTCTTAGCCATGAAGTCTGAGGAGAAGGGATCAGGAGCTGTGCTCCCATGGCCAGCCACTGGCTGCGGGGCATCCCCAGGCCACCCTAGGCCCTCTCCTCTTCCCAAGCCTGATGGAGGCCACCAAATGTCCCTGCAGAGGGGCCCTTCTGTCCCAGTCTCGCCGGCAGCTTCACCTTGCTTTACTGTTGCTGGGTGTGAACAGAAACGTGTCAGGAGCTTCTCGCTTCTGTCCCCATCTTCCTTCCCTGCGTGTCCTGCCCTCCTCCCTTCAGCGCTGCCCAAATGCCCGGCCGCCCCCTCGGACCTCCTTTTCCAAGGCCTTTTCCGTTTTCCCTGCATTCACAAGAGCTCTTCTCTGCCCGTGGGTGTCTCATGACCCTCTAGAGCGTGACTTTTTCCTCTCTCATTCCTTCCACTCCCCTTGGGCACCTAAGTAGCAGGAACCCGACTTGTCCAAAGTTGATTTGGGAGCAGCCGGCTGCGTCTTGGGCCCTTCTAAAATGATCTAGGAAAGGTTCCAGTAACATAAGCTGCCGCCTGCTGAAACTGGCGCATCCTCAGCCACTCGCTGCGGCCAGCGTGAAGGGGAAGGGAACTGGGCATTCCTGGCACCCTCAGGTGTCTACGAACAGCAATCTTAGTTAATTCTCAAAACCCCGGAAAACCCAGAAATGAGGCGCTGACAGGGACCTAACCTGTCCACCACGCCTAGGCCGGTGGGACTGAAACCCATGTCTTTGGGCTGCTTTACCAGTTTATTTCCAAAAAGGCCTCCCACACCTGGGAGGGGACATAGAAGGCTGGTCCCATTGCCAGCCGGATTTCTTTACTTAACTCTCAACCGTGGTAAATCTAATACGCTTACGACCTCTTTCTGAGAGCTGGGAATCTGCAGAGATGCTCTGTTCTCTGCTGTACTAATCTCAAGCTTCCCAAAGCGAGTGCCTCACCCAGCTCCTAGGGGAATCCACGGAGCCCCAGGTGCAGGGCAAGGGATGGGGCGGGACGGGGACATCCTACCTGCGCTCCGGGAGCCGCTGGGAGTCCGGCCGGCCCCGGCCGCGGGGAGGAAAAGTAACGGCTTGGGCTCCTCATTCGTGACGTGCGCTCCCCTGCGCCCCCGCGGCCTCCCGTGGGCTCCGGGCGGGGACAAAGCCAGCGCCAGCAGGAGGAGTGCGGGCAGCGGGGCACCAGGCTTGAAGGGCCACATGTTCGCAAGCGGGCAGAAGAGAGTGGGAGGCTCGTGGAGGATCCTGACGCAGTTCCGGAGGGTGCGCAGCCCAAGAGATGGCCCCCTGGACCAGAGCGCGGCTACGCGGCCGGCCGCAGTCCTCACCGCGCGCCTGCCCTTGTCTGCGTCCCGGGGGTCGGCTGGAGCTGCACTGGGACTCGGCCCCCAGAGTGCCGAAGCCTAAGCGCTGCGGGGCGCGGGGCGGGAACGGGAGGCGGTGCCTGGGGCCACCCGGTCGTCCCCCAGGATGAGGGCGTGTCCCAGCGCGCGGGACCCTCGGAAGTCCGTGCAGCCTGCCCTGACGGACACCAATCTCGGACTCAGGGGGTCTCAGGGCTCCCTACGCAACGCCTGCCTTGGACCCGGACCCTAAGCTCGCTCTCTGGTCGGCATCCCTGGGAGGACCCAGAAAGGTACCCGCCGCGTCGCCCCGGCGGTTCTCCCTGGGCTCTGTCTCCCGCCACCCCCACCCCGCAAGCCTCGGCGTCCGTCACGGATTCCCCTAGTTGGCTGGGGTCAGTAGAACCCGCGGTGCCTAGGTCGGGACGGAAAAAAGCAGCGCCGAGATGCGGCCTGGATGAGCGGAGATCGCCGCGCCTTGGACGCAAAGGTGCCGGGTGCGCTCACCTGCCGAGCCCCTCCCTGCTCGCTCAGGAACCATGGCCACTCCGTCACGCCAGCCGCCCCTGCCCCAGCTCTGGAGGCCAGACCTGCCCTCCTGGGCGCAGCACCGCGTTCTCTTCCGCGTGGGGGAGAAGAGGGCGGAGGAGGTCTAGGGCTGGGCACCGGGGACACACGCCCAGCTTCCCTGGCCATCCTGCATGGAGTGGCTGGTTTCAGTGCTTCCCCAAGTGAAATCGCCAGGGTTGACCAGTGCGCCCAAGAAAGCAGCCGGCTGAATTTTTCTTCAAATTAGGGAACTCTTCTAAAGAGTTTTAGTGTTAACAACTTAAAAAATGAAATTAAGACCAGTCGTCCTGATTAAAATAAAGTGAGCATCTCTGATCAAACCGCGCTCTGTAAACTGCTGTTGTTTTAGTTATTTCAGCCGCCTGCTTTATTGTTTTATATTAAGCATATTGAAAAATGTTGAAATTGCTCTCTAATCAACTGACTACTAATTATCTCCTCATATGCAAAGTGCAAACAGGTGAACGGAAGAGAACAGGAATAACTAAGGAAACTGAGGCTCCATTACTCCTTAGACATTGCCCAATGTTACATTACTCTACCAAAAAAAAAAAAATCTTGTCGGTCACAGATCCTGAAAAATGACCTCAACTCCTTCAAATCGTTTATCTAGGTTTGGCATGTCCGACATGCCCTAGAAATTGGGGAAACAAAGCAAGCTTTGCAGGAGCGCTGTGAAATCGTGCCTTTGGATGATGCTCTTTTGAGGAAGCTGTTACACGGGTGAAGACTGCTTCTTCCAATCGTTTCACTGTCAAGCTTGCATAGGAATATGGTATTTCCTAAGCAAACACAGCGGTGTAACAGAATGGCTTCCACCACCGAAGACCCAGAAGAGTCTTCCTAGAAAAACAGGTTGAGAGTCTGAAGGCCCTACTTAGGTGGAATAAACGCTTTCTCACAGCTCTACTTAAGCGAAATAAGAAAACATTAGAAGTTCACAGACATTGACAGGCAGTTCAAAAATAATTTTATTGGAAAATAAAAAAATAGGGACTAGTCTGGAAAACGATGGGGCAATGCAGTATGAAATAATGCTGGAGAAGAAGTGATACTGAAACCATGACAAATGGATTTTTTAATCAACCATCTATCAGGAGCAAATGACAGCAAAACCTGAAAGCTGAATTATTTCCCTCTTCCTATACGTTGAAAGCTAGAGGAAATAAACAAAGCAATGAAGTTTTCGAGACTGACAGCTTGGGGTCTACTTTCAGCGTCATTAGCCATAGGACCCTGAGCAAACCATTTAGTCTTCTCTCTAGCAAGGTTAAGAGGTTGAACTTCAGTGGTTCTCAGACTGTATATCATGTGAAAGAGAGGCTGTAAAAAAAATGCAGGTTCCCACACCCCTCGGGATGCAGTCCCCCAGAAGAATCCCGTAAATCTGCACCCAGAAGAATCCCGTAAATCCGCATTTTAAGGGACTCTGGGTAGTTCTGAAGCAAGTGGTCCTTTGAAACCCACCTTTATTCGTTCAACAAAAATGATGTGAATGCACACTGTGGAGCAGGCAGTGAAAACACAGCGGAGCCACCACAATGGGTAAAATACACGAAATCCTCATCTTTGTGGAGCATCTAGCTTCAGGGATCTAGTTTGCCAACACAATGCTTTTATTGTAAATAAACAGGTTGCCTATAGCTAAGTCACTCTTTGCTTTTGTTCTTTGTTCATTGCGTATCTTTGACTACTTTTCTAACTGCCCCAACTAAATGCTGCTTGCCCTGCCTCTTGCTAATTTGTTTAGAGGCAACTTGAAGTGTTCATGTCGACATGCCCTCAGTAACACTTGCTAATTTATTATTTAGTGTATAAGGAGGGGTTATCCGTGTAGAAACGGGTACTTAGTAACTAACGTTTAAAGTAATCCAAAGTTTTTTAAACTGTAACTGTTACAAGCTATTTTAAGCCTTGAAACTCAAGGCACTTATTTTCTTTACAACTTAGCTAATAAATTAAACAAGTGAAGTTTCTTTATTTAACACCAACAAACCCTATTAAACATTTCAAAATACCATCACATATTTAATATAATTGATTTTCTTAAACATTTTTAAAAACAGAAAAGTCACAAGTATTGAAAAAATCCATTGCTACATCTCCCCCAAAATATTGGTAATATTGATAATATAAACTTGAGGTTCTCTAGACAGAACTAACAGGATATATATATATATATATATATAAACTTAATAAACTCCTACACATATATATAGGAGTTTATTAAGTATTAACTTACACAATCACAAGATCCCACAACAGGCTGTCTGCAAGTTTGAGCAACAAGGAGACCCAGTCCAAGTCTCAGAACTGAAGAACTTTGGAATCCGATGTCCGAGGGCAGGAAGCATCCAGTATGGGAGAAAGATGTAGGCTAGGAGGCTAGGCCAGTCTCACCTGTTCACATTTTTCTGCCTGCTTTATATTCGCTGGCAGCTGATTAGATGGCTCCCACTAGATTAAGGGTGGGTCTGCCTTCCCCAGCCCACTGACTCAAATGTTAATCTCTTTTGGCAACACCCTCACAGACACACCCAAGATCAATATTTTATATACTTCAATCCAATCAAGTTGACACTCAGTATTAACCATCACAAGAATAAGATTATGACACAAACCCAGAGAGTCGATATACCCCTGAGGTAGGACAGTAAAGGTATATTGCTGGCCTTGCCAGATGAAGGAAAATTGCTTCTGGTGGGCCTTATGGACGGGAATGGAGAAAATGGCATTTGCCAAGTCAATGTCTGCATACTGGATGCTAGGAGATGTGGTAATTTGCTCAAGCAATGAAACTACATCTGGTACTGCAGCTGCAATTGGAGTCACCACTTGGTTAAGTTTATGATAATCCACTGTCATTCTCCAAGATCCATCTGTCTTCTGCACAGGCCAAACAGGAGAGTTTAATGGGAATGTTGGGGGAATCCAAATCACCTCCCCTGCATCTTTCAAGTCCTTGATAGTGGCACTAATCTCCTCAATTCCTCCAGGTATGCAATATTGTTTTTGATTTACTATTTTTCTAGGTAGAAGCAGCTCTAATGGCTTCCATTTGGCCTTTCCCACCATGAAAGCCCTCAGCCTACCAGTCAGGGAGCCAATATGGGGGTTCTGCCAGCTGCTAAGTATGTCTATGCCAATTTTGCATTCTGGCACTGGGGAAATGACCACAGGATGAGTCTGGGGACCCACTGGAACCTAGTGTAAGTTGGACCTGAGCTAGAGCTCCTTTAATTACCTGACCTCCATAAGCCCCTACTTTAACTGGAGGACCATAATGACATTTTGGGTCCCCTGGAATCAACATCAGCTCAGAGCCAGGGTCCAGTAGCCCCCAAAATGTCTGATCATTTCCCTTTCCCAATGCACAGTTACCCTGGTGAAAGGCTGGAGGTCTCCTTGAGGAAGGATGGGGAAAAGATTCACTGCATAAATTGTCAGTAATGTAGTAGGGTCCTTCCTCAAGGGGACCCAGACTCAAGGGGTTCTGGGTTTGTAAACTAGCTCAAGTCTGGAAATTGATTGAGGGGCCATCATTCTCTGTTTTTGTAATTCAAATTAGTCTTTTGTCCATTTGAACTAGAATTTTTCTCCTTATATAAATTAAGAAGGAATGCAGTAGGCTTCCCATCAATTTCACTTCTAGGAACACTGTGATTAATTAGCCAATGGCAGAGCTCCACACGAGTCAGACTATTCTGATTGCTGCTTTGCCTCTGCTGTCCATTATGTTAGCTACGCCCACCTTGCATTTGACGGTTGAGTGCTACCACTTGGCCCCTGCCTCCTTGGGATCCAATTATGCCCATTGTATTTAAATTTTGTAGTTGAATGACTATGGTTCCCACCATTAGATCTGACATACAGAAAAGAGCAATTACAGGGCTCTTCAAAGATGCAAGTGCTGCCCTCACAAATCTTTATCACAATGCATTGGTAAAGGCTATATCTTCTGGACCCTCCCAGCTGGAATGAGTAGGTGTAAAGTGACTAAGCCACTCCACCATCCCAATCTCCCTAAGCCTTTGGATTCCCTCCTCTACATTAAACCAAGGGAGGTCAGGCATTTCCAGCTTGCTCTCAGTGAGCTATCTTTTAATCCATATTTCAGCTAACTGAGCAAATCAGCTATTAGAACCTTTTTTTAACTCCCCAAGCTGCAACATTAAAAGCAGAGTCCCTACTTAGTGGGTCCAAATCAATAAATTAAGCCTGATCCAACTCTATGTTCCTTCCACCATTATCCCATACCCTTAATGTCCATTTCCATGCCTGTTCTCCAGATTTCTGTTTATATACATTAGGGAACTTAAGCAGTTCTTTTCAAATGTAGTGCACCTCCTCATAGGTCACACTCTCCACCTTACCACTAGGGGCCTGAGAGGACTTTAGTCTAGTTATAGGTCAGGAAACAAACAGGGGTGGTGGGGGTGGCTCCTAAGGAGAATCAACATTATTTTGCCTGGCAACTGCTTCAAGGGAGGCCATCACTGTTGCCTCGGGCAGTGCAGGGTTTATCTCCTCAAACAAAGGTGGAAAGGCTAATGGCAGCATGGGTCAGGGAGGGGATTTTGCCACTACTGGGGATGGAGAAGCTGTTCTTTCTGGCAAAAAAGGTTCATCAGAGTTTACAAACCCTGGATCAGGGTCCTCCCACACTTCCCATTCCAAGTTGCAGGGTCCTATTCTTTTGCCATCAATGCCCTCACTTTAACAGTAGACACCTGGTGAGGCTGTGCACACACCTTTCATTACAGGTCAGCCACTCACATGATACGAACTTGTGTCTGTCTTTCCACAATTTCAGCGCTTTCTCTACAGGAGATGAGGCTCTCACTTAAGGCAATCTTAGCAGATTTCAGACTCAGTATCTGCTTCTGAAGTCAGGAGACGGAATCCCTAAATTCCTCATTTTCTTTCATCTCTTTGTCCACTGAACTTAGGAGCAAGCAACCATCTTCATTATGTTCATTGGGTCTTCACATATAGTCAAAGATATTATGTATAGAGTCACTAAACTCCTTGCCTCTCATGAACAGTGAATCAGGAATGTTAAATGTATTTATTTTGCATAATTCTCTAAACAGTTCATGCCAAGGACTATCAGTGTTCTCCACACTATTAGAAGTAGAGTCCTTAGCATTTTGGGGTCTAATAATATTAAGCAGCCAGCTCCAAAAACCCCAAAACCAATGAAAGAACTCCATCTTTAATATTATGCTCCTCTAGAACCACTCCCGGTACCAAAATTTGTATTAGTCAGAGTTCTCTAGAGGGCCAGAACTAATAGGAGAGATAGAGAGATAGAGAGAGAGATAGAGAGATAGATAGATAGATAGATAGATAGATAGATATAGATAGATATATTAGTTTATTAAGTATTAACTTACACAACCACAAGATCCCACAATAGGCTGTCTGTAAGCTTGAGGAGAAAGGAGAGCCAGTTCAAGTATCAAAACTGAAGAACTCTGGAGTCCAAAGTTTGAGGGCAGGAAGCATCCAGTACAGGAGTGTTGGGAGCAAGCCC